TCGATGCTTTGTTTGTTCCCGTACTTTTGGTGTTATTCACTTTTTACTCCCACTTCATAATTTTGCTCTTTGACATTTTTACAGGATTTTACACGAAAAGTATTGGTTCAGAGCTATTATGTCATACATACATGTGCACATATATATATATATGTATATATTCTTATATGTTCATCAGTTATCAACGGACCCAGTTAAAATGATTTCAGAAGTTTTAAAATGTTCGCCTTGCTTTTTTATCAATATACTAGCTGTACCCTGCCACGCTTTGCTGTGGCATATTCCTGTTACATGGACGATAATTTAATAACGAAACAAAGCATACGTTTCATATGAATTTGATTTTGTAATAAGTAATTGTGTGCACACATCATATCAAGGATATTTGGTTTGCCGACATGGGTACACGCAACATCTGAGAAGCAATCGGCATCTAAATCTAAACCATACTTTTCCAAAGGTTGACCTTATTATTGAGTTCTGGAAGTCTGGTGAAAGAGCAGACCAGCTCAAGCAACGACTGCTGTCAATACCACTGTTATTTAGTTGAAAGACATCCTTGTGCTTCGCAGCAAGAATAGCTCGTTCACTAAGCCAGTTCCTATAATTAATTTTCTTAATTAAACAACATTTTTTCGATCAGTTCTCCTTTCTATATTTCTAAGTTGAAAAAATTATCAAACAATAAAATTCGTCTTAATCTCTCATTGACTGGTAGCTTTCCGTTCCCAATGTCCAGTAATTATGGCAAAAATACCTAGGCTGCAGTGTATGTATGTATGTTCGTCTTGTCGCAATGTTGACTATTTCAGGCAAGCATTTATCTCGTCCGCTAGTGTTAGTCGAGAAACTACAGACAATAGTTGCGTTCCCTAACTCGCAAGAAGTTGCAAGAGTTTACAGGATTTTACCAGAAAACGTTCCCGTACTTAATACTCTGGTAAATTAGGGGGAAAAATGGGAGAGTAAAATCGGCCCTCTCTTTGTCAGAAGTTGCAATATTTTCCACGAAGAGTTTTTGCTGTCTTGTAAAGTGTCAAACCATCAGCTTTTCAAATGATTTCAAATTTCAATAAGCAAAAACAAAAGTGCATCTGCATTTTCACCTTATCAAATATATCCTAGTGAAGAAATATCAAGTTTTGTAAGTATTTTTGTTAATTTTCTGGTATATTTGAGCAAAAAAGATAAAAGATAAAAAACTGTTATGTAAACAAAAAATGGTGCCCACGGTGTATTTGACAATTTTACCAGTTTTTACCCGAATAGCGTTCCCGTACTTTTTGGTTTTTCTCTCTTTCTTTGAGAGCAATTTTGCTTTTTGACAGTTTTACGGGTTTTATCCAGAAAAGTATAGGAACGAAACCAATGTTTGCCCAAAATCTCCTGCGAGCAATATCAATGCATTCCTGAATAGTTGAACGTTTCCACGCAAATCTCGCAACAATCGATGAAGAACCTCGAGCGATTTTTTATGTGCCATGGTGGACTCACCCCAAACAATGAGTTAAAATTTTTGTAATACTTTTTCCATACGGGATGCTCTGGAAATATTGCACGTGGGAGTTTCGATGATTTATATGTTCAATGGCAGCTCAGGAGTTGAATTAGCAATGCTTCCAATGTAGCAGCAATTCCAGACGAAGTTATAGCTAAGATAATGTAATGTTTTGATCGAACCGTTCCCAGAATCCATCTGATAAGGAATGTTTTCCTAGTTCCTCCTGACGCATCCAAAAAGAAGATCCCCTAACTTTGTGATTTATCATTTGCCTCTTCTTATTTGGAGCTGTAACCGCGAGTTTGGCCGAGTTCGACAAAGCACGCCAGTTGTTTCTCTCTGTGCCAACTGACGCCAATTGGGAATGCCACGTGAAGCCAAGTCCCTTTCCACTTAGTCTCTCCATTGCATTGGGGTCTCTCTCTTTTTCTGCTACCACCAGCGGATTGCGAGTTGAATACTTTCAGACCTGGAACATCAGTTCCTATTCGAACGACATGGCCAAGCTAGATGAGCCGCTCTATTTTCATTTGCTGCACTATGTACATTTCGTTGTAAAGCTCATACAACTCATCGTTCCATAATCTACGGTACTCCCCATCGCCAATGCGTAGAGGCCAGTAAATCTTACACGAGATCTTTCTCTCGAATACTCCAGAGCCGCCTCATCGAATGTTATCATTGTCTAAGCTTCTGCGCCATATAACAGCTCGGACATGATGAGTGACTTATGGAGTGTGGTTTGCTCCGTCGAGAGAGGACTTTACTCCCGAATTGCCTACTCAGTATAAAGAAGCACATGTTGGCTAGAGTGATTCTGCGTGGGATTTCCATGCTGATATTTTTATCGGTGATAATGCGTTCCCTAGTAAACGAAATTCACCACTTTCCCATTATTTTATGACAGGAGATACTGCTTCGTCTTGTCCTCGTTTGCCACCAGGTCCATTAGCTTTGCTTCCTTATCCAGCTTGGAAAAGGCAGAACAGACTTCGCGATTTCTGTTACCGATGATGTCGATGTCACCAGAAATAACACGCTCTTTTAAAACATGTTCCTGTATGGTACAGTTCCGCAGCTCTTATTATCTTAACATTTGCAGCATGCGATCGTGAATGCCCTTCTGCTTTCGCTTTAATTTGGGAATCTTTGATCGGGAATAGGAGTTCACAATAGTAGTGATAGTCATAATCATAATAATATATTCTCATGTTATTCAAAATTTCTTTATTCGCACGTGCGTAGTAGGCTATGGCAACTCCAAACGAAATTGTTTACGATTAAAAGTTAACTGATTTATATTGCTAGGGAATGGTGCCAACAATTTTAAGTTTTCATTAAGTATTTTTTCATGGGATAGTTTTTTGTTTTCGTTACTCTTTTATCATTTTGTTATTTGTTTCAGTGGTTTTTAACCGACTTCAAAAAAAGGAGAAGGCTATCAATTCGTCGGAATATTTTTTTTTGTGTATGTTACCGCGTAACTTTGGACCACGTCACCGATTCCCAGATGATCCCATACTAATTTGGTTTAGATCCGATCATTGGATCATGAAAAAATTACCGGTACTATTAAATTTTTATATCAGAATTGCAGTCGGTTGTGTTTTGTGCTTACAAATTAATTGTTTATTAATTTTTTTAATTAAATAATTTGTGTACCAGCTCTTCGTTGATAATATGATCACTTGGTTTGATAAGATGTTGTAAATTCTATATATATTTAAACTTTTCAGATTTTGGATAAGTGGAAAGATTTAAAAAATGTCTCTAGTAAAGCTTTCCCAAACACTTTTCGTTTGGAACCAGTTATGTAATATTTAATTTAATTTCAATACTTTCAGTCTTTCCTTTTAGGTAGGTAATAATTCTATTAAAAATATTTCCAAATCAAGATTTTTCATATACCTTTCGTTTGGCACCCATAGTGTACCTCAAATATATTTTCCATTGCAAGTCTTCTTAAAACCCTTTAGTTTGATACCCACATTGCAATATTTCATTTATTTAATCAATCCAAGACGGTCCACCTTAAAGCTTAATAATATACATATGTAACAGTTTTACTGCTTTGAGGTTGAACTCAATTCTATTGAAAAGAGCGCGGATACTTATTTTCCCCTATTCAACCAGGAACGACCGTCAGCCGCCACCTATCGCCCGTATCCGCTTTACATTTGTACATATCCATACATAAATAATGTTAATATACTAATTTTTCGTTGGTTTATTTATTTTATCGCTTTATATTGGTGCAACATACTAAGCTATCGAGTTCATATTTTCAAAAAGGTGGCAACTCTCCTCAAAAATATTTCCAACAGCCATCTACCTTAAACCTCTTTAATTTAATACCTTTTTTTTAATAGGGTCATTTATTTTATCAATTATGCAAACTGAGTTAAATTTTCAAACCGGTGGCAACCCTCCTCAAATATATTTTCGGCTGTAAACCTTCCTAGGAATCTAAAGCTTGTTACCGACATTGCAATATTTCATTTATTTAGTCAATTTAACAGAGATAAAATTTTCAAATAGGTGGCAGACCTCTTCCAAAATATTTCCTACAGTCATCTTTCTTAAACCTCTTTAATTTGGTACCTATATTGTAATATACCATTTGTTTTATCAATTAAATTTAGTCAGATTTTCAACCAAGCGGCAACCCTCACATGGCAATACTTCATTTATTTTATCAATTTAATTGAAATACAATTTTCAAATAGGTTGCAACCCTTCAACAGTTATCTTTCTGAAACCTATTTAATTTGACACCTATATAATAAGTTATTTATTTTATCAATTAAATTGAGTTAAAGTTTCAAATAGATAACAACCCTCCTCAAACATATTTTCGACTGTAAGCCTTCTTAAAAATCTAAAGTTTGATACCCAAATTTCCGTATTTCATTTATTTTATCAAAATAACTGAGTTTAAATTTTGAAAGATGCGGCAACTTTACTCAAAATTTTTTCCAGCAGTTATCTTTTTTAAACCTCTTAAATTTAAAATCAATATTTTCATATATCATTTATGTTGAGAACATGATCGAGTTCTCCGAATAAGTCTCCACCTCCGCCAACGCGGCGCTCTGGCAACGCCGTATCAGTGTGGCCAAAGGACCACACGGCTGCCTTATCGACAGGCAACGTCACCGCACACACAGCAACATCGACACAGTCGAAGAACCACCGCCGCCGCGTACATTTTGGAAGCCTGCTCGCGTATTATTTTTTCGATTTTTCATCCCGCTCTTGTATTTGTTGTCACAGAAAAATAAAATTGAATTTTTAATTAGTGCAACCAAAAAAACAGTGCGTGTTATTAATTACGCGGTGAAGCTAACCCCAAAACATGGTCCTTTGGTGCCAAAAAAGCAACCCGCGACATTGAAATAAAAAAATTTAACAAACATTTAACATCGATATGTACATACGTACATAAGTGCAGTGCACATACCGGCGTACAAAAAAAATAAAAATCCTAAAGTTAAGGAAGAAAACACAAAATCAAATTTAAACATACATACAAACATAAATAAGTGTAGTGCATTATTTATTTAATAAAGCTGTGGCACAAACCGGGCTTCCTATACCACACACATATACGGGTGACGTAAAAAAGTGTACAAAAACATAAAACGTTTACCAAGCGAAAATAGACACGGTTACAAAATTTCAAAAATACATAGTAACACAAATTAAAGAACATTAAAGAAACAAAAAGTATACATATTTGGAAAGTTCAAAACTCATACATACACGAACACATATTTGAAGAAAAAAACTAAAATAAATAAAAATTATTTTAAATTAAAACAAAAGACCGAGGATTTATACGAACACACAACGAAAGGAGTAAAAAGACAACGAAACATCAAGAGTAGCAACAGGAACTAAAACGGCTCAACACCAACAACAAAGTCCGGAACAACAACAACAAGAAACAAGTACACTAATGTCTGAGTGAGTAATACCCACATGTACCCTGCAAAAATCGCGACTACTCCATGCATGCATGTAAAGAGTACTCCCGAAGGACCAAGAAGTACTCCAAAATTAACCACAATTCATATAAAAAATATGGTCCAATTAACATTGCGATGTCCTAGGGCAGGACCATATACTCCATCTCAGCATTACATCAGAATAGCACAAAACTACTCCTAACATACTCCAATGACATTGTCGTTATATTTTTTCGTTTGTACACGCTTTTGTTCTTCACTTCGCAGATGCTTTTTTTGAAATGAATAAAAACCAAAAACAAAAATTAAAAATTACATGTTGCCTCTGACGACATTCGAACCCGAACAAGCTGGGAGCTAAGAACTAACAGCTAGCATCTCTACACGTTCAGCTACAGCCAGACATGCAAATGTACTTTCAAATGCTTAACTTCAATCACATTTCGTTAAAACACGAGCAGTGATCGGGTAACAATAAGCTGGTGCAGAGACACGAGTTGGTCCGCTACAGCATGACAGAGGAGCACTTTTGTAAGTACTCCAATATACCAAAAATAGACTACATGGTCCAACGATTTTTGCAGGGTACATATTGAAAATACATATATTGAATTATATATGCATATGTATATTACCCTCCGATCAGAAATTACGGACCCCGTTATAGCTAATAATTTTAGTTCACAACTGTACAAATATTTATGTACATAAAATCGTTAATTTTGCACCCTTTCTTTATACGCATGTACATATGTATCTACCAGAAAACCCAAGACAAAAAATCCGTTGTCAAGCGCATTTCCTTTACATACAAGCGTTTTTATTCTTTCTCAAAAATTATTGCAAAAAAAACGGTGAACAAAATTAGCTATATATTTCTTTATTCCTTCTAACGAATAACCCGTTGCCCAGTTTATGTGCTCACCGCTATCTCAATATACATAAGTGTACCCAAAAAAAAAAAAAAAAAAAACAATAAGTTCGATGCTCAGCAAGCACCTGTTGCCAATATAAGCATATATATATGTATGTATCTAACATATGTACATATGCATATAGGCACCCACGCTTAAGTTCGTTGCTCTTATAATAACGGAACTTCGAAATCTCCAGCATCAGATTTCCCTGCAAAAATCGCGACTACTCCATGCATGCGTGTAAAGAGTACTCCCTCCCTGCAAAAATCGCGACTACTCAATGCATGCGTGTAAAGAGTACTCCCTAAGGACCAAAGAGTACACCAAAATTAACCACAATTCATATAAAAAATATGGTCCAATTAACATTGCGATGTCCTAGGGCAGGACCATATACGCCATCCCTGCATTACATCAGAGTAGCACAAAACTACTCCAACATATTAACAATGGCATTGTTTTTATATTTTTTCGTTTGGACACGCCTTTGTTCTTCACTTCTCAAATGCTTTTTCGAAATTAATAAAAAACAAGACAAAAATTAAAAAGTACATGTTGCCTCTGACAGCATTCGAGCCCGAACATGCTGGGAGCTAAGAACTAACAGCGAACATCTCTACACGTTCAGCTACAGCCAGACATGCAAATGTGCTTTCAAATGCTCAACTTCAATCACATTTCGTTAAAACACGAGCAGTGATCGGATAACAAACAATAAGCTGGCGTAGAGACACGAGTTGGTCCGCTACAGCATGACAGAGGAACACTTTTGTAAGTACTCCAATTTACCACAAATAGACTACATGGTCCAACGATTTTTGCAGGGCTACCACTGCCCATTTATAACATACATACATATATGTATTCGCAATAAAACATACCAAAAACAATATTGTACGCAATCCAACGCACTTGGTGAGTGGATTACGCTAGCAAAACCTACCCTAACAAAGTAAGTGTATGCACATAGCAGCAGGGAATTGAGGAAAACAACATCACGTCATCACCGGCGACATATTTACATACATATTTTACATACATGTACTTTGTTATATCGACAAGTTCATACATATTAGCACAGCATTTGAAAGGGCATTGGTACACCACAGTTATTATCGGCAAATATTTTTGGTTTTCAATTTGCTCAACCCAGAGCCAACAACAAACCACACGCCTATATACATATTTCTGCTTGTAGTCAGACGCGCTGAGACAAGTGCATATTATCCCAGCAAACAAAACAGCGGGACTCGAAATAAAACACAACCCAGCGAACAATCATAAATACACATATCAAAGTATAATCAAATTTCATTCTATCAAGATTTTCAATTTTATTTCACTAATTTTTAACCAAAGAAGAAAAAATTAGCGAAAATGCCAAAGACTGCAGAGAATACGAGCCCCCGTACATCTGCTGACCACTGTTTAAAATAATTTATTTATGCCAGTAACCAATTAGAGGTTTACTGTTCAAAATGGTCCCCTTCTCAAGCAACCGACTTGTCTGAATTTTTACTAAAGGTAAAATTAGAGGACCTTGAGAAAACATGGGCAAAGGCGCTAGAGTCCCATAGAGAAATCAGCTTCTCCGATAGCTATAGAGAACTAAGCGGCTCTGTCGAACAGAAATTCGCTAAATGCATGGAAAGCTATCAAAAATGTAAATCCGAAATTTTAGAAGCTTTAAAGCTTTTTAGTACTGCTAGCACCAGCCAACAAGCAGCTTCCAACCACCCTATAAATGATTCCCACTCCGATGGTTTTTATCTTAAGGTACCACCGTGCGACACCGAAGTCTTCCACGGTGGGTACGAAGACTGGCCAGCATTCAGAGACATGTTCACGGCAGTCTATAAAAACCACCCAAAACTAACACCTGCTCAAAAACTTTACCACCTACGCCTAAAAACAAAGGGACAAGCGGGGCTCATGGTAAAGCAAAAAAAATTTCGAGCTTGCATGGGAGGCGTTGAGATCACGGTACGAAAATCGTAGGATATTGGTCGACAACCAGCTGAAAACCCTATTAAACCTGCCTGCAATATACACAGAAAACGGAGAACAACTACAGAATATGCAGACCACAATCAACAATTGCATGTCAATCCTAGCAACACAAGGAATCCCAACAACGGACTGGGACCCAATCCTGGTATACCTGTGTTCATCCAAACTGCCAAGTGAAAGCCTTTCGCTATGGGAACAGTCCCTCAGCTCCCGGAAGGAACTACCGCTTTGGGCAGATATGCACAAATTTCTGACCAGCAGATACGAGGTAGTAGAAAGGTTAAGTACCTATAGACCAGGCAAGGCAAGACCCCAATTTTCGAATTTTACACCAATAACGGTGAATCACAACTCGACCCCCCTCAATAAAAATAGAGCTCATGCATATCATACGGAGTTCAACAAAACCGTCTCTTGTAGATTATGTAATCAAAACCACGCGATGAAATCTTGCGTCAGGTTTAAAAATCTTTCAGTATCAGACCGCCTAAAATTCGTGAGAGAAAACAATTATTGCGAAAATTGCCTTTCCTTTTCACATCTCAAGAATGAGTGTCAGAGCAGTTTCACGTGCGTCTATTGCCAAAAGAGGCATCACTCTTTACATCATACGCAGCCCAGGCCACAAGCCGACACCCTTAGCAGAACGGACAGCGAGCGGCCCTCATCATCGAAAGCCGCCGCAAGGGCGTCGTCAGCCGCAAGTCCCGCACAGGAGACAAACAAAGTTTCCACTCACTTTTCGAGTGACAAAGGAACCACCCTACTACCAACAGCAATAGTCCCCATATACTTTGCTGGCGAATTCCATAAAATTCGCGCCCTACTAGACCAAGGTTCCCAAAAAACTTTTGTATCATCCCGTATACAAAAGCTCCTTGGCCTACCCACAAGAAAGTCTCTACATCAAATATCCGGAATGGGTGGAATGGTGGTAAGAAACTCAAATGAGATCTGCGAAATAACATTTTGTTCATCAGATTTAGCCCTAAAAGTAGACGCACAAGCAATAATACTGCCAAAACTCACTCACTTCTTGCCCACAGCCAAAGTATCAAGTATCGATCTCGGAGAATTGGCGGATTTAACATTGGCTGACCCTGATTGTTTGACACTATCTAAAATCGATGTGGTAATAGGAACAGGAAGAAGTTCGCCCCACCCAGCCACGATCAGAAGATGACGAATACTGCGAAATGCTATACAGGACAACCACAATCCGCCAAGAAGATGGACGCTATGTAGTAAAATTGCCATTCAAAGCGGAATTCCCGGAAAACCTGGCACTCGGTCACTCCCGAACAGCAGCACAGCAGCAGTACATCAGCATCGAGCGGACCCTAGAAAGGAAACATGAACTACGAGAGAAATATTTTGAAGTCTTAAATGAATACTTGACCATGGATCACATGGAACACGCCTCCCCTCAAGAAATAGTAAAAAGCGGGAAACATTTTTCCTTTTATTTACCCCATCATGCTGTCATAAAACCAGACAGCAAAACCACAAAGGTGCGAGTTGTCTTCAACGCCTCCAAATTATCTCACTCTGGCAATTCATTGAACGACATTCTCCACACAGGCCCCATACTACAAAACGACCTAATGCTCGTTATTCTCAAATGGTGACTATATAGGTTCGTATTCAACGGCGACATAGAAAAAATGTATCGCCAAATACTAGTTCACAAAGAAGACCAAGATTTCCAGCGAATCGTCTTTCGCAAAGACCCTAATATGCCTATAGAAGATTTTCGACTGAAGACATTCACATTTGGTGTTAATTGTGCACCATATTTGGCAATAAGAACCCTACACCAACTCGCTGAAGACTGCCAAAGCGAATATCCGCTCGCAAAAAGCATACTTTTACATGAAACGTATGTTGATGATATTCTATCAGGTGGTCACGATATACAGTCCACTCTAAACGCGATGACCCAAGTTACCGAAGCCCTGAAATCAGCAGGATTCCCTTTGAGAAAAATGTCGGAAAACCACCCGGAAATTTTAGAGCCAATTCACGACTCAGATCTATGAGATGTCGATTTTCTCAAATATCAAGATGCAAGCTCCACAAAAACGCTCGGAATCCAATGGAATGCTCTAACAGACACCTTTACATATGCATACGACCTACTTTTAGCAGCGCACTCATGCACAAAAAGACAGATTTTATCAGCAGTAGCGAAATTGTTCGATCCCGCAGGATGGCTAACGCCAATAATGATCCTTCCAAAAATGCTGCTACAGCAACTCTGGATGGAGGGAACTGATTGGGACGAGAACATCAAACCCGGGGCCCTTCAAAAATGGAATGCCTTTTACGAAAATTTACCCAAAATTGGGAACATTAATATTCCGCGTTGGGTACAGTATACCCCCGACAAACCCATCCAACTGCATGGATTTTCAGATGCCTCCGAAAAAGCCTTTTGTGCTTGCATCTATTTAAGAGTACAAAATAGCGAAAACACGTTTTCATCGCATTTGTTAGCCGCTAAAAGCAAGGTAGCACCCTTACAAACCGTAAGTCTTCCACGGTTAGAACTCTGCGGGGCAGTACTACTCTCCAAGTTAGTAAAGCAACATCGAGATGAGCTCAATTTACCCTCCCACGAACTCGTACTTTGGTGCGATTCCTCCATAGTACTAGCGTGGCTAGAAAAACCTCCACATACTTGGAAAACTTATGTAGCCAATCGAACGTCCCAAATTCTCCAAAACGTGAGCAATGCGATTTGGCGACATGTTTCCAGCAATGACAATCCAGCGGATTTGGGCACACGAGGCTGCAAACCACAGGACTTGGTGGGATGTCCACTATGGTGGGAAGGACCCAACTGGCTCATACGGTCGTCAACATCGTGGCCGAAAGCTGTGTCCCACCTTCCAGACCCCCGGAAAAGCGACGCGTAGAGGTATTTCACACCATGGAAGACAAGGATATGGATATACTCGACCGGTTCTCGTCGTTTTCTCGCGCGCTCAGAACCGACGCCTATATGTTTCGTTTCATTCGGAAGGCACGAAAACAATTAATCCCAGCCACAGTTACCCTAACCCAAGAGGAAGTCAAACTCATCATCCAAACCCAACGAACTCATTATGGGGACACAATAGCTCTGCTGGAAGCTTCGAAGCCAGTCAGCAGAAAGAGCCCCCTTTTGACATTAAACCCACTGTTGGACAAAGCAGGAATAATGAGAGTAAATGGTCGACTTTCCTATGCCGCCCTCAGCTACAATGAACGGCACCCAATTATTGTACCCGAAAACTCTCGTTTTTGCTGTCTTCTTTTAGACTTTCTCCATTCGACCCTACTACATGTGGAGAAACAGCTGATGGTCCGGATGGTACAGCAAGAGTACTACATCCCCCGTTTAAAGAGGAAAGTAAAAAAGTGTATATTTCATTGCAAAACTTGCACCATCTATAAACAGCAGATGAGGTCGCAGGTAATGGTAGCCTTGCCACCCGAGAGATCAACATACTCCTTGCCCTTCCACACAACAGGAGTCGATTTCGCTGGCCCGTTCTTAGTAAAATCGTCCCCACTTCGACGAGCTTCATATGTGAAGACAAAGGCCGTTCATTTAGAGCTGTGTTCCGACCTCAGCACGAACGCCTTTAACGCAGCCTTTGCATGGTTCATCGGACGTCGTGGCATACCTCACCAGATCCTCTCCGATAATGGGAAAACCTTCGTTGGTGCCCAACGAGCACTACAACGAGATTTCGCCACGTTCCTCAATGCAGCAGCTACAGACGTCGCAGAAAGATATGCCCTTCATGGATTCTCATTTTACAAAAGTAGCGGGGGGTCAAAAATTCTCGTTTGAGGAACTCGCTACTCTTCTAGTTCGGATAGAGGCGGTCCTCAATTCCAGACCGCTCTCCCCTATGTCAGAAGATCCGAGGGATCCCCTTGTGTTAACCCCAGGACATTTCTTACGCGGAGCACCACTCCTATCACTACCCGAACAAAACGTTGAACATCTTTCTTTGATCAACAAATGGCAAATGGAAGACCAAGTACCTCAAGGAGCTGCATAAACGCTACAAATGGAAGCGCCCACAGCAGAATATCGAAGAAGGTGATCTAGTGGTAATAAAAGACGATTTATTACCCCCCAATGAGTGGCGTTTTGGGCGTGTAATCCAATTGCATCCGGGTCCAGATAAAAACGTTCGTGTTGTAGAAATAAAAACTCAAAATGGAACCATTACCCGAAACATTACGAAACTGTGTGTGTTACAACCGCCTAACGCTATGCTTACCCATCGTACTCTACAGCTTGTATCCCACTATTAGTTACCCTTTAGCCGTATCTATAAACACATAACAGCTACCCTTTATCAACGTATTTTCTTCTCACCCATTTTTAGTAAATACTTGATCCAATCGTCCTTTCTATCTATTTCTGTCCTTACAGAACCCGCAAAAAGCCAGAGCCACAAAAGTGCCGTCTGTGTGGTCAACGTCATGTACTGAGGCAGTGCCGGGCGTTCTTAGCGATGAAGCCGGAGGAGAGGTACGAGTGCGCCCGGACTCATCGGTACTGCATTAATTGCCTCGCCGTTTCGCACACCACGGGGGCGTGTGACTCCGCGTCCAGCTGCCGTCAATGCTCGCTGGGTCATCACACGCTTCTACGCCAACAGGAACTCCGGCGACTGGTAGCTGAAGCAAAGGCGGCCCTGGACAAGTTAGATGCCGCCCTAAAATCAACAACGCATCAGGGGGGGGGGGGCGGCATGTTGAGAACATGATCGAGTTCTGCGAATAAGTCTCCACCTCCGCCAACGCGGCGCTCTGGCAACGCCGTGTCAGTGTGGCCAAAGGACCACACGGCTGCCTTATCGACAGGCAACGTCACCGCACACACAGCAACATCGACACAGTCGAAGAACCACCGCCGCCGCGTACATTTTGGAAGCCTGCTCGCGTATTATTTTTTCGATTTTTCATCCCGTTCTTGTATTTGTTGTCACAGAAAAATAAAATTGAATTTTTAATTAGTGCAACCAAAAAAACAGTACGTGTTATTAATTACGCGGTGAAGCTAACCCCAAAACAATTTAGTTTATCAATTAAATTACGCTAAATTTTTAAACAGGTGGCAACACTCCTTTAAAATATTTTCGACTGTAAGCCTTCTTAAAAGTCTTTAGTTTGATACCCACATAGCAATATTTCATTTACTTTGTCAATTTAACTGAGTTAAAATTTTAAAATTGGTGGCAACCCTTCTCAAAAATATTTCCAACAATTATCTTTCTTAAACGTCTTTCAATTGATACCCATATTGTAATATTTAATTTATTTTGTCGATGTACTTTAGTTAAATTTTCAAACAGGTGGCAACCCTCAAAAAACATACTTTCGGCTGTAAGCCTTCTTAAAATTCTTTAGTTTGACACCCATTTGTCAATATTTCATTTATTTTATCATTTTGACTGAGTTAAAATTTTGAAATAGGTGGCAACCCTCATCAACAATATTTCCAGCAGTTATCTTTCTTAAACCTCTTTAATTTGGTACCCATATTGTAATGATTTATTTATTTTATCAATATAATTGGGTTTAAAAATTTTCAAATATGTGGCAACCCTCAAATTTTTTGCGATATCATTGGCGCATATTCATAGTCATATTTAGCACTCAACTAAGTCGAAACTATTCTAAGTCACAACTAAAGCTATTCATAGTCGCCTTAGTTTCGACTTTTCTGGCTAAGTACCAACTTAAAATTTAGTTTCGGCTGCAGCTGCAACTAAGTCGTAACTAGGAAGAAGTATTTTATCAAATTAAGGGAAAACAGACGAAATATGTAAAAATTAAGTTGGTAGAGGGTGATTTTGATAATATTGAATATTCTCCCATTAAAATTTATAATGATCGCTCCATTTTAATCGGGAGATGAAATTAAATGCGTATTACAATTCGAATAAAGCTACATCACAATTTTAGAATTGGAATAATTAAAATAAATTCTCAAATAATATGTCAGTTTCACGCTAGTTCTTTTAAAGTAAATTTGTGCACAACATTTAGATATCTACTACATCGACTTCACATCACTGCGGTTGTTCCCCAGTAGAAATCGGTTGTATGCATTCTTGAAGGATGCTTGCTATATGAGTGAGTTAGTGTGAACAATTCATGCGTAGTCATGAATTTCCACGAATAAATTCAAATTCTAGCGAATTGCAAGCGAATGTACGTTTCGTTGTTTTAAATATATTTCTTGATAAATTTGAAGTGGAATTTTTGTAATATTTTCAGTCCTGTACAAAAATTTTAGTGAACGGACGTGTGGTGCGATACTATTTTCAGCACAAACGGGCTTTTACAAGATATGCATTTGAATATGTAAATGCTACTTGTTTGTATGTCCCCGTATATTGAAATGTATTAGAACAAGTAAGAAAGTCTAAGTTCGGGCGGAACCGAACATTAAATACCCGGCGCAAGTATTAAAGATATGTTTTTTCACCTTTCCGAAACCTTCCGCTAGATGGTAAGCCGGGGTGTATCAATTTTGAGTAAATTAGCGTCCTTCAATTTCGAAATATTGAAGTTTCAAGCATTTCTGAAATTTACCGTTATATGAGAAGCGGCCGTTATTTTAGTCCGATTTCAATAATTTTCAACGTTTTGCTTATATGTGGCAAGCACAATAACCACACCGAGTTTGGTACAAATTAGTAGAACGGTTACCGATATACATATATGTGATCATAAGTGGGCGGCGCCACGCCCATTTTCCAAAATCTTACCATAAACGTATTTCTTGGTAAAGAATTGTTGCAAGTATCAATTTTGAATAATTTAGCTTCAACAGTTACTGATTTATCGAAGATTTTGTATTTCTCTAAATTACCGTTTTATGGGATGTGGGCGTGGTTATTGTCCGATTTTAAAAAGTTTCGGCGATTTTTTATGCTGTACCAAGGCCAACAACTGTGCCAAGTTTGGAAGAAATTGGTGCAGCGGTTACCAAGATATACACATGTAACCATAAGTGGGCGTGGCTACGCCCATTTTCCAAAAATTTATAATATTCTTTTTTTTCGTCTAAAAATTATTGTAAATATCAATTTTGAGTGAACTATCTCCAGTAGTTACTAAAATATCGCAGTTTTCGTATTTCTAAAAATTACCGTTATATGGGAAGTAGGCGTGGCTATTGAGCGATTTTAGAAATTTTCCACCATTTGGTATGTTGTGCGAAGGCCAACAACTGTGCCCAGTTTGGAAGAAATTGGTGCAGCGGTTACCAAGATATACACATGTAACCATAAGTGGGCGTGGCTACGCCCATTTTCCAAAAATGTATAATATTCTTATTTTTCGTCTAAAAATTATTGTAAATATCAATTTTGAGTGAATTATCTTCAGTAGTTACTAAAATATCGCAGTTTTCGTATTTCTGGAAATTACCGTTATATGGGAAGTGGGCGTGGTTAAAGTCCGATTTCGCCCATTTTCAATACCATATACGCTCTGAGAAACCACGCGTGTTAAATGGAAATGAAGGTTCATTTATACTGGCATGTATACACAGCAGCAAGCTCATGCCACCAACAGCGATGTTGTATGCATAAGATTTCTTCTGGGTCTGGCTATTTCACACAATTAACAAGAAAATGATACCTTATTCTTTTGCATAATCATGCAATGAAAATAAAAATTACATAAACGGATGATCAAACTTGACATTATTTAATAAAAATGTAATTTTTCCAAAATATCGTAAAGAAAAATCGATACATTTTCACACTCGTTTTTCTATATCGTAAACTAAGTCGAAACTACTTAGTAGAAGTCTGAAATGCGACTATGAATAGAGGTAAATTTTAAGACTTAGTTGCTGGACTATGAATACCGCCATTGGTTCTGGTATTACACCGAACAATACAATTATTCAGATCGGTTCAGCCGTTCTCGAGTTTTGACGACCGTGACATATGAACACAACATTTTTATTAATATGTGACCTGGTCTACGGAAAGGGGGCTTAGGTGTCAAAAAAATCAATTTTCACTTTTTGGTTGATTCGGATGGAAGATGAGATGATTTTCACTTTTAACAGCTTTTTCACAGAAAACTTTTTTCGCACGTAAGCTCCCTTTTCGTAGACCAGGTCACATATAGACTACTAAACATATACCTAAAACCATGCTACGAATATCAAAACCACTTGCAACAAATGAGTTCATACATATGTATGTACATACAAACTTAAGTTTGTATACACATGCATACCCTGCAAGACAGCTGAGCATCAAATATGTGCTCATTTTATCATTATCACTAATTACAAAAGGGCTTATTAAAATACTCATTTTTGTTCGGGCGATGGGATAAAACTGAGCACTTTCCCCTTGTCGGTATAATATTTTACCTCTTCTTACTAATTGAAAACTTTGATTAATGAAAAATATATCTGCTCTGCTCTAGAAACTACCAAACTGCTTATTTTTGTTTTTATAAACACATCATTGTTGTCATTAGCAAGTCCTCAGTGCTAATAAACAAACTACTCTTTGTTGTCGTTATGAACTCCTCAGCACAAATAATCAAGCTACTCATTTTTATAAGCTTTTATTTAACTTGGTCATCCCGCGGAAATCGCTGAAATTTCCAATCGATTTTAAACTAACTTCCCGACAAGTTAGAGACAATGCAATTTAAAATATAAATGAATTCCCCATATGGTCTAGGGGTGTTGATTCAAAGTCAAAAAATAGTACGATTTATGGCTAACAGGGCGTAATTTGCCAAAGAACGTAAAACCACTATAAAATTGTTAAAGCTGCCGGCGATAGCGTAGCAAAGCTATTTGTGGCAAATTCTAGATATCAACGTAGTCCCGATATGAACCTCGTTGTAAGAATTAGAAGACTCCAGATGTCGCCCCGACAGAAGAAGTTAAATATTGCGCCTAAATATATGCCATGCTACAACGGAAATTGACGACACGCCATTTCTTTAAATAAAATTACCTGCTGCTATATGTACATATGTATGTTTATACAAAACGTAAGCAAACAACTTTTTGCTTGCCAAGTCTTCTGTTCTCTTTCATTGCAAGTTGAATTATTTTAATATCTATTGCAAAATTTTGTACATAAAATAAAATAACACTTTTTAATATACAATGCTTTTATAAATGGACTAAAAATTATAAAATAAAATAATGTAAAAAAAATATTTTTTTAAAAAGAAGCTTTTATTTAACCTGTACAATCAAAGGAATAAAATGAAGTAGTGTAACAAAAGATTTTTTTTAGCAAGAAAATTTTGTCAAAACTGCACTAAAATGAATAAAATAAAATAAGTTAAGGTCTCGGTAAAGTTACTAAAAGCCATTTAGTGAAAGGAGTTATTCAAACTCTAATGAAAATTACTAACAATTTGTACTAATTTACTTCGCTTTTAAAAAAGCTTGTCGGCGAATTCAGCGTACATGCATAATTGGTTAGGTATGTATGTATATGTATGTATGTATGTAGATATTTAAATGCCGGTTTGCTATTCGCGCGACAAGCTTTTTTAAGCACAGGGGGAATTAACAAATTAATGTATAGAATTAACAATAACAATCGCGCCGTCAAGTTCAAATAGCGGCAAATCAGCCCTTCGCAATTTTCTGCTGGGCTATGCGTTACAGCTTCGCAAATTTTACCCCTACCGAAACCAAAGATGTATAGACTTCAAAAATGCTTGGAGCGCGATCGCGTTCTTTCTAGCTTCCTAACTCTCC